TTTGCCAGTGAAAGCCGAAGACGACGGCAGCAGCAGTGGCTCCAGCTCAGAAGAGGAGGCCCAGACAGGGCCTTCGGCCGGGTTGGCGATGCTCGCCCCAGCAGCCAAGAAGGCAAAAGCAGCAGCGGCAGCGTCCAACAAAGGCGGTGCCAACACCAAGTCTACGGTGACGCCTGCGCCTGCGGCTGCCAAAGTCAAGGCAAAGGAAGGCTTCAGCACGGGTGGAAAGCCAGCCAAGCCGACGCCGTCGGCAAAGGTTGCGCAGCCCAAAGGAAAGACCAAACTCTCTGCGCCTTCGGTTGCGGGTGCGGCTCCTTCAAGCGATCCCGACAAAAGCTCTACCGTAGGCATTCTTCAGCTTGATGGGCGTGCAAATCGCACACTGAGCCTCAACAGCAAGTATCGGGGTTTGATCTCTAGACAGGCCCAGACAATTATGTTTGGGGATTAGGCTTTCGGAGTTTCGGGTTTAGGCTTGAGGGTTAGGGCTTTCGGGAAAGGAGTCAGGCGAATGTATTGAATCATTTATGATGTTTGCTAAACTTTTGCCGTGTTTCCGCAAGTGTAATATCTTTAAAGACTTTAGGCTGTAGGCTATAGATTCAATGAAGAGGGGTTGGGATTGGGTAGTACTACTATCTTTAGTTGTGGTAACCATCAGCATAAGTCATGAGACATGAGGCCTAAGGCGTAAGCTGCCATAGAAGACTATGAATAAATTTCTATAGGCTCTAAACTATAGCCCATTATAGCTGTAGCTAAGCCAAATCTGATAAGGCAAAGTCGAAAGCTAGGAAATCTCAGCTTGACCTATCAGGAGTCGCCTCAACGATGCCAATACGAAGCTTGCCGAGAAGCTCAAAGAGATCCGTTACGATGACGAGCCTGTGTCGCAAAACCAAGCAGCTTCAAAAGAGTATCGCGCACATTGTCTCAAGCGCGTCACCGAGCTCAACCAGATCAGGAAGCAAGCCTCGGAGCATGTGAAAAAAGTGGAAAAAAGCCCCAACAAAGATGCTTTTGCAGACCAGCTACAAGGTCTTACTGAAATCACCGATGCTGCCACAGCGCTCGGAGAGCTGTTGGGCATGATGCCTGTGGCAACCCCTGATCCCGAAGTGTTCCTTGGCACTCTGAACAAGTGCAGAACCTTCGCGGGAAGTCTGGGCTTTGGCCTTGGGCCGGGTTTCGCAATGAAGTGTCTCTTGGCAAAGGTCAACGAAGCATGCTTGCATTGCAACTACGACCGACTTTGCGAGATCCTCTGCGAGGACAGCAAGGATGCCCAGGACATCCTCAGCTCATCCGTAACCATGGATCAGCTACGCCTTGCCGTATCTGCTGAGATCGAGAATCGGCTGCTTTCAGCCATGCGAAATGTTTGCATGACAGAGTTGAAGCTGAAGTCCTCGGGGTTTGTCCACATTGCAGATCCTGAGTCTGAGACCCCGACTTTGCATGAGGCAAGCCAGCTGGCCGCTTGCATTGCGCGTGCGTCTGAGGCCAAAGGGTTCCTTGCAAGCAGCATCGCAGACTCTGCGTCCGTAGCCTTCTCTTTTCTGGACATGAAGGACATGGCAAGTCTCCGAGACAACGTCCAGAAGATTCAGGGAGTCGCTTCCGAGCAGCTGGAAAAGTTGGATGGCATGACGCGTTTTTTCATCCAGCATGATATTGGCAAAGCTCTGGTGGCTCTCGCCACTGATAGAGTGGAACATGGGCAAGCAGAGGCCGACTACCAGGAGTTGCTGAAAGCTTTGCAGGCGCCGTTGGAAAGGCTGCAACAGGCAGCCAAGGAGATCACGCACAGAACGGCGGCAAAAAGCCAGGGAATTGCATTTATCGTTAGCGACCTCAGCCCGGCGGTCAAAGCCATGGAGGAGTTGCAGGCTTGCGCTTTCTTGAAGCGCAAGGCCGCGCAGAAGGCTGATAGCGAGACCGGCATGAGTGCTGTTGAGACAGTGCAATCCTGCGCTGGGCGCCTGTCAAAAATCGCGGTCACCATGGTGCAAGACGAACTCAACATGAACATCTCCGAGCACCTGCGCCTTGGCTGTTTCCCAGTAGCTGCGTTTAACCACTGTGTTCGGATGTATAGATATAGATATAGATATAGATACAGATCGTACCACATTTTTCCACAAGATCGGGGGTTTAGCGTCCAAATCATTGGCGGGTCTAGAACTCATAGTCGCACCAAGCCAAAGCCCAAACGTCGCAAAGGGCAAAGCTTATCAGCCATGTGTAAGGACTGTGGGTTTTGAGGCGCTGAAGAACAACTGCATGGTGAAGCTTCCGCAGCAAGCAGATGCAGACGTTCCGGCCTCTGGCCCAGTCGGGTCAGGCACGGCCATCATCAATTTGGACGAGTTCCTCAGTGGTTTTTCCGCTGTCGCTTTCGTTGAGAACAAGCTCTGGCAGAGCCTGCCTGCAGTGCAAGCTTTGATCGCTGATTACAGCAAAGCGACATCGCTGCTAGCTTCCATGATGCGATTCGTTTTTATGAAGCAGCCGGCTTTCAGCCAGGTTTCTGTCGGCAAAGACAAAGTGCTGCCAGAAACCATGCAAGACTGGACCGAAAAGGCACGGAAGCATGCAAAAACCTGGGTTTCCGAACCAGCTCTCTTGGAGGCAATCGAACACTGGTTGGTTAAACCACTTCAGGCAGAGCTGCAGTTGCTCTATTCAGCGGGTCTCAGCAGTGTGGCTCCAATCGTCGATCAATATGTGCAAGGCGCTTTGGCCTGTGGTCTCACTCGTGGTGTTCACGACGACGTTTTGCAGAAAGTGCCGCAGCAGCACCCCCTCCGTGGTCTCGTCGAGTCGTTCTTGCAGGCCCAGTCCTCCATTGCCGCGTTGCCTGTAAGCCGTAAGCCGCATGCCCGGTTGCTCGTGATAATTTGCTTGCGCTGTACACCGCTGAGCTCAGGCTAGCCAGGCAACAGGCAAATCGCAAATGGCAAATAGTAAATAGGTTCACTTTGTCACTATGTACATGTAGTCAGCATGACTATGACTATGACTATGACTATGACTACTGATTACGTCCTCGTCACTATGTCACTGTCAGCAATCATTGCTTTGTCCCTTTCGTCATTTGGTCCAACGGTTAAAGTTTTCGTTGTTTACTGCTAGGCTAGATCTATAAGTCTAAATCCAAGGTCCAAGGCCACGGTAGCGGTACTGGTATCGAACACTAAAACTTCGAAAGGCTTAGCCGTGACACCGATGTTCAGAGTTTTGGGTTTTGGGATGCTGAAGGCTGAAGCATTGAGTCAGAGAGTTCCCCTGAAAGGTTGCAATGATCCCGACTGCCAACCCAGAATCAGGTGAGGTTCGGTCTTTGACCAAGTCGTTGAAGCTGCTGTCCGAAGAACTTGCAAACGTCCAGAAGTCCAAGGACTTTGAAGCGGAGCTGAAGCCAACAAAGATTGCGGACAGCTCTACCTTGCAGTGCCTCGAGCAGCGTGCAGGACTTCTGCGAAGGCGGCTCCTGGCCACGGCTCGCAAGACTTGCTTGCAGGCCTGGCAAAGCGTCGAGAGGCTTCAATCGCTTCTTCAAAGCCTTCCCAAGGCCTGCAGCAAAGCTGAGGAGGATTACCGAGTCGCGGCGATCCCGCTGGTGAAGGAGCTGGCAGGCCTGTCCGGCCAGGTGTCGTCAGGAGCTGAGACGATCAAGGAGCTCCAAGATGACATCGCGACATTGGCCGTGACAGTGTTTCAGTCCGCAGGCTCGGAAGCGGAAGTGCCGCATGAGCAGCTCATTCGCAAGTCAGACGGTGTGAACTTCAGGGAAGCTGGAGAGTCTTCGGAGGCTTTTGCCAAGACCTGCAACGAGGTTGCACTTTGTGGCAAGACGCATGTGAGCATTGTTGCAGCCCTTTGCCTGTTGCGCATGCCAAACTTGAGCGCTGCTTCACAAGAGGGCAAGGAGCTGATGCAGAAGCTTGTGGGTGTGCACAGTGCGCTGAGCAATCTATGCGACAATCTGAAGGCCCAGATTGCACCAGGAAGCGAGTATTTTAGCCTCCGCGCTTTTGCAGAGACTGTTCTCAATGAGGCAAACGATTGCTTGAATCCCAAGAAGTCACCAGATGAGTCAGCCGTCGCGGCTGTTCCCAACAAAGGAAAGAAGCGCAAGCCTGCCGAAGAACCGGCCGAGGAACCCGAGAAGAAGAAGAAGGCGGCAGAAAAGAAGAAAAAGAAGGGAAAGGACTCTGACGATGAGAGCGAGAGCAAGAAGAAGAAGAGCGGATCCAAGTCAAAGCGAAAGCGAGAGGGGGATTGAGGCCTTCGGCCACGTTTTGATGGGATCCAAGTCAAAGCGAAAGCGAGAGGTGGATTGAGGCCTTTGGCCTTTGGCCACGTTTTGATGTCGAGCTGTGACTTTGAGCCTTCGGGCCAAGTTTCAGCTTCAGAGACATTTTAACTTCAGTCTTTGAGCTGATGGAGTTGTCGTTGTTCGGGAGATTTCAGGGGAACTTTCCCAATGCTAACAGCTTCATATCGGCTCGCCCGTTCCGTCAGGGCAGACAAAGACAAAGACCAAAGAGCAGGACGTTTCACGCAGAGCAAAATGTGAAGAAAAGTGCAGGGTGCTAGCATGTTGTGCGTTAAGACAAAGTCAAGACGTTTTGGGTGAGTTTTGTGGTGGCCACGTGTGGTGGGTTCCTTGCCAGCTTCGGCTTCAACTTCAACGCTTCAGCGGATGTTGCCAGTTTGTCACTGTCACTGTGAACTGTTAACCTAAGTAAAGAGTTTGGGTGTAGGGGTTTTGTGTGACCGTCAGTGATGTCATGTCTGCATGTTGATGTTGGCTCAATGACAGAACAAGGATGTGCAATTAAACGGTAAACACTACAGACGTCAGAAGTCCTCCAACTTGTAGCGCTCCAGGGTAGTCACCACCACGGTCTGCGTCGCGGTTTTGAGTTTTGGGGCTTTTAGCCCATATATCATGTCCGCCTCTGGTTAGACCGCCGGCGGCATTGTTCCCCAGCATGGCGTTCGAGACGACTGAAAGCGCTACGAGCTCGTCTCAGTCCCGGCAACTGTCCAGAGTTTCCTCCAACTCCAGAGCTGAGCCTGTCTTGATGGCCGAGGCTTCTAGCCGGGTTGTTGAGGCGAAGTGGTTCATAGACTGCACCCTCTTGAAGGAATGTGCCGCAGAAAATTTGCATGGCTTTGCCAAACTCTACCCCGAGCAGTTCGGAGATGGGCCTGTGGCCAAGATGCCGAAGACCCAACTTTCGTGGGGTTCCGCATGCTCTGGATGCGAGGGTGCCTTGTACGTAGCACATGCCATTAATGCAAGTTTTGCTGGAGCGAAGTGGCCTGTGAGGCTGCAGCACCGCTTCAGTTGTGAGTCCTGCAGAGACAAGCAAAAGTGGGTGCATGTAGTTTCTGCCTCACACCGTTGCGCGGATGCTGATGAGCTGTTCGCAGATCTGTTTGGGGCAGATGATGAGGATGACGATGAGAGTCATCACACTTGCATCTTTGCAGACATACAGAACTTAGGAAACGAGACAGCCCATTGTGTTGTGCACAATCGAGAATGCCCGGTCCCGCAGGTGGATGTGTTCATGTGCGGTGTGAGCTGCAAAGACGTTTCCCGTCAGAATCCTGGGCGAGACATGTCGAAGCATGTGATAGCCGAAGGGCACTCGCGTGGCGGAACTGCGCAGACATGGCAAGGCTTTGCAAGCTACGTTTCCATCAAGCAGCCGGGTATTGTGGTGTTTGAGCTCCTACGCTGCAACTTTTGTAGAGTTGGTTGCCGTGTTTACTGTTTTTGGGCTTTCAAATAATCTGTTTTCAAGTAGGGTCTGAAGTTAGAAGTAGAAGTAGTGGAGGGTTTTAGGCTTCAGGTCCTTCTCATCCGCTTCCGACATTTGACCACAAATCAGGAACGTGGATGGCCTTGACGACAACGTCGGCCAGACTGCGCAGAGCAACATGGACGTGGTTGTGCAGACGATGAAAGGTTTCGGGTATGAGGCTCAGCCAATGATGACTGATGCTCATGAGTTTGGATGCCCATCCAAACGGCGCCGGGTCTACATCTGCTTTTTCAAGCGGACGTTTCACAAGTTTTGTTTCCAAGACCGTCCGCTCTCGCAGTCTGTAACCATGTTCAGAAGCATGACAGCTTCTTGCATGCGATCTGCGCCGTGCGTCACTGAGGTCCTTTTGGATGGGAGTTGTGAAGCCGTTTCGGCTGGTCTTCTAGAGTTGCAGAACAAACGGGCGCAAGCAGAAGAGAGGGCCGCCAATGCCAAAGCCAAGGCAAAGGCGAAAGCCCAGCCTGCTGCCAACTGGGTAGAGCAACACTTGAAGGCCAGTGAAACCTTAGGCGTTCGATGGGGCCAACCGGCAGGTCGGGAATTGGAGAGCAGCCCATGGTTTCGAACCTTGACAGACCGTGAAAAGGATGCCTTGGTGCTTTCCCGGTCCCACGCGCCGCAGGCAGGCTTCCGCAACCTGAGCCAGTCTTTGAACCGCATCCACACCATGACGCTGGCTGAGGGGTGTACAAAGCATGTTGCGCCTACCATGCTCCCTGGACAGATTCTTTTTGTTGAACTTGTGAGACCTCCAAGGCTTCTGCTCGGGAGGGAAGCTTTGATCCTGCAAGGGTTTCCGGTCGAGACTTTCTTGCGCGACATGGATGTGGCTGGATACAACGCTTGTGACGATCCATTTCCCAATCTTGCAGGCGATAGTGCGAAGAAGCGCAAAAAAAGAATGAATGACAAGCCTTGGCTGACGGAAGCCCTCATGATGGATCTGGCAGGCAACTCCTTTTCGTTTCCGGTTTTGCTCGCGGTGTGGCAGTCTGCTGTTTGCGCAGTGGATTACCGTGCAGCCACTGAGACGGTGAAGGTTGCAGATGTTGAAGAAGCTATGGATGCATTGGCTTTTCTCGTGTCTTTGTGAGCTTCAACCAGGCCTCTGGCCCTTGTCCAGGTTGAGCAAGTAGAGCCTTAGCCTCAGCAGCCTTAGCACCTTTGCCTTTGACTTCGTTGTGAAGCCTTGGCCTTCGGCCCGGTGCTAACTTGGCTGCACAGGCGACGGGCCTCAGGCCAGGTTTACAGCAGAGACTGTGCTTCAGGCTTTTGGTTTCAGAGTTTTGGCGACCGGACTCTGGAGCAGACTTCGGGCACAAAAAAGGCGCCGCTGTGCGTTTTGCGGAGGCTGCTACGGCTGTTAAGTGCAGTGCATGTGCTAGCTTTTGTTGTAATGATGAATGGCGGAATCGCATCCGCTAAAGCTTGGTGTCGCATTTGAAGAAAAGCAACAGGCTAAGCAAACTTCTTTGAAATCGTTGCAAATATTTTTAACAATATTTTTTGAAAGACAACTGAAGCAAATATCACGTATCAGATTTTTGCAAAGCACATGTTTAAAGAATGTGCAAGAACAAAGCCCTTGCAAAACAATTTTTAAAGAAAAACACAGTTTTCAAAACAATTGAAAAACAATTGTTCAAAAAATTGTATAATTTTGAAACAATTAAAAAACAATTGTTCAATAAATTGCACTAATTTCAAACAATTGTCAAACAATTGTCAAAACAATTGTCAAAACAATTGTCAGGGTCAAAACAATTGTCGGGGTCAGGGGAAATGTGCGGGACTACGAAGCTTCTTGAAAACATTCAACCTATAGGCTTCCCTTGCCTATTCTTGACTCCCGGGACTGCCCTTGAGGCGGGCATCCTGCTCAGGGTGCCCCACCTCTTGCTCGCTGGCGAGCTCTTAAGCCCAACGGCAGCGGACACACCGGAGTTTTCTCTTGGGCTTGGGCTTCAGGGTGTCTAGGGGTACCTCGAACCTTTAGGCTTTTGGGGTCTCCAGGCTTCTACTTTTACGAGCCTTGTTGGGCCTCTAGGCTTCCAGATCTCCAAACCTTACTCTGGGGGTGGCTAGGCTGAAAGGTTTTGGTATTGGTTCTTTAAGGGATGTATTTTGGGAAGCCTGTTACCGGAAGCCCTTTTTCAAGGGCTCCAGGTGACTTGGGAGGCACTTTTTCAAGGGCTCCAAGTGAATCGGGGCTTAAGTTTATATACCTATATATATATATGTATATGTATATATATATATATATGTATATGTATATATATATATATATATATAGCTGCGACACTATAAAATTTACGAGCTTACCGGGGTTTAAAGCTTCAAGGGAAACCCCAAACTCTAAAAGGCTTCACCCTAAGACCCCAGACCCCACATGTGTTTGTGTGTGCGTGTGTGCGATTTTTCTGCCGCCCTGCCCCCCCCCCCTCACCCAAATTTGTCCTTTCCTCTCGTTTAGCACCGTTTAATGAAAGTATAATAAAAACACATTCCAGAACACTCTTCTAAATAAAAAAACAAGGAATAAATACAAATAAAAAAATATATATATATATAGAATATGGAATATATATATATATATATATATATATGCCATAATAAGTATTTCCATCCCCGAACCCTTGTTTTTTAGCTCCCGGTGGCCGGAACGGTAAAGTCAGGGTGAGACGTGGCCAGCAGGGCCTCTTACAAAAATGCTACTTCTGCCCACCCTGTTTCCAGGGCGGGCAGCTGCACAGTCGACCCTCTTTCGAGGGTTCAAGACCCTCTCTCAAGGGCAGAGCTTCTTGCAGACCCCCTCTCAGGGGTATTTTTTGCAAAGGCTGGTCCTCATTGCCTGGGCCTGGTCCTTCGTCATTTTCGGATCCTTTTCTAAGGCTTTCTTGATGATGTCGATGACCTTCTCGTACTGGCTTGTCCATCTTTCCGGCACCTCCGTGATCAGGGGTCGCTTGCCAGCCGGCCCCAAGGTACCAGTCAGGTAGCACCGGGCCGGCTTGCTGGCCTTGGTCTTCCTGACTGCTTTCCAGCCGCCCACGTGGCCGGGAATGGGCTGAGAGGCAGCCGGCTTTTTCAAGGGCTGCTCTTTCGGCTCTTGGCCCTTTCCCCGACCTTTCAGTGGAGCGCGTTGCTCCCGCTGAGGAAGAGCTACCGGAACTCTGGTACTCACCTTACGGAGAGAAGACCCACGTTTCAGGAAGATGTCATGGCCTCAGGAACGCAACCAGTGTACACCGAGTACTACCATGCAAGTACTGCTGCCCCAACGGACTTCGATCCCGAGAACAACGCACCTTCGAGTACAACAGAACCTTTTTGGAAGCAGCAGGAAAGTACCTTTGGCTAAAAGTCTTCATGGTTGTGGTTCTCATGAGCATGTCGTGGTTCATGGTGTTTCAAGTGAACGAGACCTACGGCTACCCGCTGACCGCGAACCGCATGCTGAAGTACAAGAACAAGGTCCTCAGCCTCGACAACAAGAACCCCAAGAAGAAGCATGTGATAAAGGAGATTACCCCAGCAGAAGTTGTGCCTGCCGGGAAGAGCCAAGAAGGTGATCACACAGAACTTTTCACGTTGTGGTCGCATTTACATGAGCCCAATACCAAACCGAGAACGAGAACAAGATCTACGCCACAAGCTACCTCAAGAAGACGAACGTGTACTCCGAGTTTTACAAGAACAAAAGAAGAAGAAAGTTGCAACTACAGTTTTCATGATGGTGATGTTGCGGAGTATAACGAGAACTTAAAGAACAACGAAGGGCCCCACGTGAACTACTACAAGAACCTTGTGTTTGAGTTGGTTTTGGAGTTTCAAGAGTACCTTGCGAAAGCAGGAAGAAGCCTTGAGCCCGTCGTGAGCTACGTCGTGCGCACGTGTCACCCAGTTCTACTTCTACTTGGGACCCCGCTTGGTATGGTCACTTGGATCTACCTTTATTTTTGGGTCAGAGTTAAGCAAACAAAAAGAGAACAGTTGAAGAAGAAAGTTTCGAGAAGGAAGTTGCACCAGTCAGTTTGCAGCGTTCTTTTGAGGAAGCGAGTTTGGTTGCATGCTGTGTTGCTTTACAGTCACATGCAGAGTGCAGTTGTGATGGAGGAAGCCTTGCAAAGGCTTACGGACCTCACTGCCCAAAACACACAGCAGATACAAGCACTTGCCCAGGCAATGAACAACCAGCAAGTTCAGGCAGGTACTGCTTCACAACAGCTACAAGAACTCGCGCAGTCAGTTTCACAACAACAGAGAGCAATCACTGAAGCAACCCAAGCAACGAACACAGCACTGTCACAGCAAGCAGAGCTTACTGCAAATGCGGTTGCAGCAACAGGAAAGCTTACAGCAGATGCAGTCACAGCACTGTCGCAACACGCAGAGTCGAGAAGGCCAGGAGAGGTTGACCTCCACAAGATGATCAAATCTCCGGAAGTCTTTGGCCCCACGACGTACAAAGAAGAACGTGATGGTTTTCTAGAGTTTCGGTTGAAGATGAGAAGCTGGATAGGTGCCCTCAACAACGACATCCTCGAGAAGATTAACGCAGTCGAGATGGATAGAAGAGAAGCATCATGGGAATGGACCAAACTTACAACAAGCGAGCAAGCACTTTCAAGAAAGCTACATTCCATTCTCACCAGCTACACGCGTGGCCGTCCTCTACGAACTCTAAAGCAAGTACCCAACGAGAACGGCTTCGAAGCATGGAGGTTGTTGGTTGAAGAGCATCAGCCGCACAATCGTGCACGTTCTCTACAACTACTCAACGGAGTTCTACACTACAGGTTCGACAAGCAAAGGTCAACACAAGAAAATATTCTAAGGTTCGAGGAGTTGATTGAAGAGTACGAGAGAGCGAGTGGAGACCTTGTTGCCGATGACATGAAGATTTCCATCATTCTTGGAGGAACTGAAGGTAATATGAGACAACACCTTTTACTCAACCAGAAGGAGACCACAAAGTATGGAACACTGCGTCAGTACCTCCTCTCCTACGAGCAAGCAGCAAGGTGGACCACTACAGACCTCATCAACTCAGGAAAGGATCACCAAGGACAAGCCGACATGGATGTGTCACGAGTTGAATGGTGGAACAAAGGCAAGGGAAAGGACAAAGGAAAAGGAAAGAAAGGAAAAGGATTTGGAAAGTACAAAGGCAAAGGCTTTGGCAAAGCAAAAGGAAAAGGAGAAAGCCAGTACTACTACAAAGGCAGAGGAAAAGGAAGAGGAAAAGGAAAAGGCAGAGGCCGAGGATATGGCAAAGGCGGGGGAAAAGGCTACAACAACAAAGGAAAAGGAAAAGGATACAACAATCCAGGAGTCCCCGTTTGCCACTACTGCCAAAAGCCTGGACACTACGAAGCCAATTGCAGACTCAAGCAAAGAGACATGCAGCAGAACGTCAGGAACGCACAGGAGGAAGATGAACAAAGCGTCAAAACACAGCCTACTACAGTTCCAAGCAGCAGCGCCTCAGCAGCAACAACAAGAACTACAAGCGCGAAGTCTACAGCTAAGCCAACAGTTCGACAGATCGCGATGTACCACATGGACAACGACCCTGTCACGTATCCTGAAGTTTTCGAACTTGACGAAGATGAAGAAGAGCTCGAGATTGAGTACTTTGGAAGAGTTTTGAGAGTAACAGAGGCAGAAGAGTTTGTGTTGTCAGAAGGAGAAGAGAGCGAAGAAGAACAAGAAGATCCTCTACTCAAGTCGTATCTTGGACGTGATGCACTACCAGCACAGGAAGTTTTCTCAGTGCGCGTTGTAGAGGAAGAGTTTTTCCAGGAAAGTGATCTTCACCAGAGAATTGAAGTTATCCTGGACTCTGGCGCAGATGTTTCTCTTGTGCCCTCTTGGCTAGGAAAGGAAGGAACCCCTTTGAAGGTTCGCCCTTCGTCCATTCAGGACGCACAGGGAAAGGCAATAAAGGCAGAAGGAAGAAGGATGCTGAACTTAACGTTCTTTGATGACGATGGAAGCTTTTGTCGCATCCAGGAAGCCTTCACCGTTGCCTCGGTGATCAACCCTCTGATGGCCATAGGCAAGCTGTTTCGAGAAGGTTGGGAGTTGCGAGTTAACGAAGAAGAAGGTATGTGCCTTACAGACGGAAGCTCAAGAATACCCGTGCATCTCCACAAGAACAGCTTGGCAGCACAAACTCCTTCAAGAAGCAAAGGCTATACCAGCAGCAACTACAAGATGGTTCGTACAGTTGTTCAGCTCAACAAGCACATTCAGGAAGCAGTGAACAGAGAAGAACCTGGTTGGCACAATACCGACAGCATGGTCATCGTGAAGTGTGCCACTCAAAGCAGCTACGAGAACCCATCTCTCATGTACAGCCCTACGCACTTTCCGTACAGAAGCACTTTGGTGAAAGAAGAGAGAGGATGGAGAGCAGTTGAAGTTTCAAGAAAGTACTCCGAGAAGGCAGACCCTTTTGAAGAGTTTGCTGAAGGAGAAAAGGAAGTGGTTACAGCCATTTCAGCAAAGCCAATTCCACTTTGGATTCTTGGCACTCCCTACGCTGCCGGAGACCGAGCAGACCAAGAAAGCCATGGTCGTGACTACTGGAAGATGGATCTCGAGAAAGGAGAAGTTGTTCGTCACCACGTAGTACCAAGAACTGTTTTGTTTGACCCGACAGGTGTTTCCAACTGTCCTGTCCTCCTTGGAGACCTCGAGAACAGCAGATATACCCAAGGAGACTGTATCTACAGTACGGAAATCTACGAACACAGCGACGACTGGAGAGCAGACCGTCTACCTCTACGTGAACACTTTCGTTTGCCGTGGTTTGGTCAAACAAGGTTTCGTGTGAAGCCAGAAGTTGTTGAAGACCTGAAGGCAGAAGCAGCAGCAGAGGAGCTAAAGAAGAAGAAGGAAGAACACTACAAAGAGAAAGAAGCTTCAGCAGTACCAGCAGCAGAAGAAGAGAGCAAAGATGAGGATATGAGAGAAGCACAAGCAGACCAAGAAGCACCACAAGAAGTTGTTGAAGTTTTGGAGGAAAGCTTCTACCACGAAGGTGTTGAGTACACAGCACAAAAGAGCAGTCTTAAAGAACTACAAGCACTTTGCAGAGAGTACGGAGTGAAGACAACAGGAAGCAAGAAGCAGCTTTTGAGGAGACTTGCCACAGCAGTCAGAGAAGAGAGGCTCAACACACAGCACAAGGAGCAACGGGAACACCACCAAGCATACCACCTAGCACCACCTCAGGAACCAACGGAAGAGGAGAGAGCGTACCACAACTTGACGCACCTTCCGTACCAGCCTTGGTGTCCCCATTGCGTTGCTATGAAAGCACGAGAAGACAACCACAAGAAAGGATTGAGCAAGCCAAGCAGCTCTACGGATTCCGCGAAGCCCGTCATCAGTTTTGACTTTTGCTATACAAGCACCACAGGAAGTGAAGAGCCACCTGCAGTGACTCTTGTCGCTGTGGACAGCTGGAGCAAGGCAGTTCTTGCAGTGCCCTGCAAGAGGAAAGGAGGTGCAGGAAGCACAACGCACCTCGCGGAAGCACTAGTGCAGTTCACCACGCAGCTCGGGTACAACACCCTCGTTCTCAAAGCAGACAACGAGAACGCAGCCAAAGCACTCAAGGACAAAGTACAGAAGGTACGCAGCAGCCTTGGACCTTCTACAACACTACAGGAAAGCATTCCTTACGACCACGAGAGCAATGGAGCAGCAGAAAGAGCAATACAGACAGTACGGAGGCAAGCGAACACTATACTTGATGAACTCAGAGAAAGAACACAGCTGGCAATACCACATGAACACGCAGTGGTAAGCTGGGCGTTTAGACACGCCTGCTGGCTACTCAACAGGTTCGCAGTTAGCAGCTCCACAGGAAGAACGCCACAGGAAGTTATCCACGGATATCCCTACTCAGGGAAACTAGTACCCTTCGGTACTGTTGTGATGGCGAAGAGGTTGAAGATCAAAAGAAAAGGCGACAGGATATGGAACGCAGGAATATTCTTATAGGCAAGACAGAGCAAGACACTTGGATCGTTGCACAGCCTGACGGCATACATATCACACGCAGCGTGAGACCACTACCAGAACAGTACGACTCCAAAAGAACAAGCAGCATAGAGGTCCACACCTGGAACCTCAACACACCACTCCTTGGAGCAAGAGTACTTCCAGAGAAGAAGCACAAGCAACGACCACAGCTAAGCATCCTGCCCCCTGTTGCCGAGGAAGAACGCAAACAGCTCGAGAACGACGAGGCCGCCAGTGACCCTCCGAGTTCGGAGGACAGCAGTGAAGAGCAGCAGCGAGCACTTCAAGACAGAGAGGAACAAAGCGAAAGCAGCAGCATGAGCGTGACGAGAGATAGGAAAAGAAGAGCTGAAGTTGATGATGACACCCTTTTGGAGGAACTTCAGGCAATTGAGCCACTCACAGCCTCAGCAGAAGCAGTTGCAGCACCAGCAGAACCACGAGCAGAAGCAAGCAAGCACAGTCTTGAACCTGAGGAACCAAGCTCACCCAGCAAGTCACGAAAGCAGGTCAACAGAGCAGAAGAAGCAGACGGTTACCTCAACATGCCTCATGATGATGAAGTTTACGAAGCAGATGATGAGTTTTTGTACGAGTCTGAAGAAGAAGAAGAAGAAGAGGAAACAGAGAGGGAACCAACAGAAGTTTCTACCAAGGTCCCCGTCGATTTCTTCGATGAGGAGAAAGGACCACCGAACGTGGACCCAGCTTTTCTTCAGAAGTTGGACGATGAAGCTACAGTTAAGGAAATCAAGAGGTTAACAAAGATGGGAGTTATTTCGTTGGTTTCTACGGATCCTCAGGAAGCAACTGAGAACGTACCTCTGGTAGACTCAGAGCAAGAACTTCACAAGTGGTTGACAACGAAGTTGGTGAAAGATTGGAGGTTCAGAGAAGCTACAGGTTTCGAAGTTGATGAAGCCACAGCAGGAACAGCAAAACCCAAGCAGACACAGAGGTGCTGGCAAAGACGTGCCAGGTTGGTAGCAAGAGAATACAAAACAGAAGGAAAAAGGGAAGATATATTTTCTCCTGCGACAAGCCCAGGAATTACAAAACTGGTGCCCATGCTGGCTCTCGCCAACAATTGGGCGATCTACAGTGTCGACGTGAAAGACGCGTTTTTACAAGTCCCTCAAAGAACACCTTGCTTGTGTCGAGTACCTGAAGAAGCAGCTCACGTCGTTCAAGCAATGCAGGAACAGCCAGAACGTAGCCCTGGAACTTGGTGTTGGAAGCTAGGAAGAGTTTTGCCAGGTCAACGCGACGCATCCAGCCTTTGGTCCGTCTTTTGTGATGGACCTTTGGTTGAAGAGAAGTTCGAGCGTTGTACAGCAGTCCCAGCACTTTACCGTCTTCTACGACAAGGAAAAGTAGTTGCCGTTTGCATTGTACACGTAGATGACTTGCAGTTTGCAGGAAAGAAGGAAGTCATCGAACCGATCCTCAGGAACCTCAAGAAGACAGTGAACTTACAAGTTGAAGGACCTCTTTTGAACGAGGAAGACTACGAGAAAGGATTTTCTGAAGAGACCGTGAAGTTTCTCAAAAGGAAGTACACGTACGAACATCACGAACTACGAGTACATAGCGATAACAAGTACGTGAAGAAACTCGTGGAGATCCTCAAGCTGGAGAAGAAGAAGGCCAAGAACTCACCTTGCACGCCGGCTAGTCAAGAACCTGACGTATCCCAAGAACTGGACGAGGAACACTCGAGAACGTACAGAAGTTGTGTTGGCATTTTGCTGTACGTGGCGCACGACCGTCCGGACATTCAGTTCGCAGTACGCAGCTTAAGTACTGCCATGACGAAGCCAACGGAACGCAAAAGGAAAGAACTGGAGCACTTGGCGCTCTACCTCAAAGGAACGTCAGACTACGCCGTTACGTACCACAAGAACAACCCAGGAACGTCAGCTTTACGTCACCGCGCCGAAGAACCACAAGAACCACAAGAACCTCGAGAACAACCACGTGAACGTTTACTCGAAGTTTTTAGCGACTCCGACTGGGCCGGAGACAAGCAGACTAGGAAGTCAGTCAGTTGCGCCATGTTCTACCTGGATGGTGCATATTTCTACAGCTACAGCAGGACGCAGAAGTCAATAGCATTGTCTTCAGCAGAAGCAGAGTACATGGCACTTACAGGAGCAGCAAGCGAAGGAATAGGCCTACACGCAGCAGTTCGTTTTCTCACGGGAGAACGAGTACTACTCAAAGCATCCACGGACAGTTCCGCATGCCGCGGAATTACAAACCGCCAAGGAACAGGAAGAGTCAAGCACTTGCAGATCCGTTTACTTTGGCTACAAGCAGCAATACGCGTACACGCAGTTGGTACAAAAGAAAACACAGCAGACCTAGGAACAAAGCCTCTTAGCACGAAGAGAGTGAAGTTTCTCCTGAACATGATCGGCATGTGCAGCAGCGAAGGAAGAGTTGGAGAGCAAGAGCGAGAAGAAGAAGAAAAAGCACAAGTTGTAAGAAGACTCGAGAAGATCATGAAGAACAAGAGCGGCATGTTGTTTGCACTTTCAAGTTTGTTTGCGAAGACTGAGGCAGCCTACGTACAACACGTACCGTTCGCCGCAGCTCAAGAAGTAGCAAGCCCACAAGAAGTCCCAAGAAGCCCTGGAAGCATGTCGCTTCTGGAAGTCCTGGTGACGATCGCCATGGTGTGCATGGCGGCATGGTTTGTCGTCAACGAGATGAGAAAGCCGCAGAAGCACAAGAAGTCAAAGAGAGAAGAGAGAAGCAGCAGTGAAGAAGAGGAAGAAAGCAGCAGCTCGGGAACCAGAAAAAGAGCCGAAGCAGCAGAGAAGAGAAGGAGGAAGAAAGCAGAGAAAGAAGAAGCCCTTGCCGCTCAGGTGAACTACGACGTGGACTCCTTCGACGAGGCAAAGAAAGAAGTGACAGAGAGAGCAGAGAAGCTAAAGAAAGTTGAGGAAAGCCCGGAGAAGGAAAAGGAGGAGTTTGAGGACGAAAAGAAACAGTTTGAGGAGGAAAAGAAGGAAGCCAGCGAAGAAAAGACAAAGTTTGAGGAGACAGTGAAAAGGTTTTTGGCAAAGCAGAAAGAGGTGAAGGAAAAAGAAGACAAGGTTACAGAGAGAGAGAGAGCAGAAGGTAGAGAAAGACCTCGAGACCCTCCAGGAGCAAGCGAAGACCTTAAGCGAGAAAGAGACAGCCCTTGAAGAAGCCGAGGAGAAGGTCAAGGAAAGAGAAGCAGAGGTTGGAAGAAAGAGCAGAGAGGTAGAGAAGAAAGAGAGAAAAGCTCAGGAAAGAACCACCGGCTACGACGAGGAGAGAGAAGAGTACGCCAAGAAGTACGTGGACAACGCAAAGAAGGACTTGGAGAGAGAGCTTAAAGTGCTAAAGCAAGAAGAGAAAGTAAGGAACCAGAAGCTCGACGACCTCCAGTACGACTACAAAAGCCTCAAGGACGACTACCAGTACTTCAAAGGTTACTCGCTTGCCGTCGATCCACTCCTTCGGAGCTCCAGCAGCCTACACCAGCTGCTCCCACCTCGCTGCAGGGAGCAGCACACTTGAGCCAAAGTTGCAGGCCACCGGCAGTGCACATGCACTCATGTTTTCAGGTTACGTATGTTTGAAATCGATCCCTGTTTCCAGGGATCAGGGAGCAAGAAAAAATCAATACCAGAATCAATCGGAAGTATCAGTAAAATCAATAGAAACAAATATGCCAAAATATATACTTCAACAGAGAAAAAATCAATATCAATATAATTGATATAATCAATATAGGCCATCAAAATCAATATCAATGGAAATTTATCCAAAAATATTGATTCTAATCAATAGCGGATGCTCAGGGTAGATGCGCAGGCTACGGTTCAGCAGGAACGTAGGCGCACGCAGACCGTGCCTACCAGCGCCTCGTTAGCCAGGGGTTTGGGATCCTGGAGCTATCTGTGCTGGGCCTGCACGAGTTTGAAGATATCGCGAAGCAACTGGCTCAGGAACTGGGAATTCCCTACCGGCCCTGGCTATGGGGCGGAGTGTACTGCTGGTTGCAGGAAGCACGCCAAGAAGCAGTGTACCAAAGGGCACACGGCTACTTCCGGGACGACATCACCTGGAGGGCTAGGATGCCACCGCTACCTGCACCGGTGGAGGACACGGTGGCTATGCATGCCGCTACGACCCCGCGGAGCGGAACAGGAAGGTGCTAGAGCCCCGCTCGGTGGGAGCCGCGAGAGAGGAGAGGCTGCTAGAGGTTTGGGCCAGGAAGCTTCGGGAGGAGCTGCTAGAGATCCACGCGCCCGTGCTAGCCAAGCTGCATGGAAGCCTAGACCCAGTCCGGGCCGCTATGTTGCTCCCTGTGGGAAGACCCGCTATCCTCAAAGCTATCTGCTGGGTGGAGAAGGTGGCAGCTAAAGATGAACACCGCCTTGGCTATCGGCTGGCGGGTCTGGGCATAGGCCAAGCTAGTCAAGGTGTGGGCCACACTAAGGTGGTCAGGCCATCCTGCCTGCCGAGCTAACCATGGTGGAGGGCCGCCTCGCTACCATCCTCAGGAAGACGAAAACGTCTGGTGCTACGAGGAGGGTCAAGGAGCTGCCGGTCGTGGTGTCGGAACACAGCTTCCTGGTAGCTAGCACCTGGCTCGCTACAGGTTTCGACCTCCTCCTTGCTGCTGGTTAGCAAGGAATGGAAGACTGGAGCTTCCCCTCGTGTGTTTCTTGTGGGCGAAAAAAGCTAAACTTGAATTGTTTCCGAAAGTTTGTCTCCGAAAGTAGAAAGCGCAAAAGGCTACAAATCAAGCTTGGGATCTGTTGTCGCCGATTGAATTTCTTCTCCGTGAAACTTTGCCGCAGAAATATTTCAAGCAGACGTTCCTTTTGAACTCGTTCGAACAGCCGCAGCAGAATTTGAAGCAGATCTTTGTTACAATTCTTGTACATGGAGCCACGTGCATGTTGCAGGTGCAGAAACACATGCAAACAACTTTTTTCTATTTGTTCTATTTGGAATGACTGCATTGGAGTGTGGCATTTGATGTTTCCGATCCTGAAACTTTCCATCCTGCAACCGAATGCAAACTGAAGCTCCATGTACAAGAATTGTAACCAAGATCTGCTTCAAATTCTGTTGCGGCTGTTCGATCGATTTCAAAAGGAACGTCTGCTTGAAATATTTCTGCGGCAAAGTTTCACGGAGAAGAAATTCAATCAGCGACAACAGATCCCAAGCTTGATTTGTAGCCTTTTGCGCTTTCTACTTTCGGAGACACAAGAAACACACGGGGGGAACCTCCATTCTTCCATTCCTTGCTAACCAGCAGCAAGCCTCAAGGCACACGCCGGCTATGCCCGAGATTACCTTGTGCCCGGCTGGGAAGGGGAGGGCAGCTAGAGAAGAAGATTGCTATCTATGCGGACACAGCCGGGCTGCTAGCAATCGACTGCCCCCCGGAGGTCCAAGGCTACTGGACCGAGCACAGCGAGCGCTCGGTGCTACCCACGGGGCTGGCGCTAAAGGAGATCCCTCCGCAAGACAAGGACCTGCTAGGACGTTGGAAGCTTGAGGGTTCCGACGTGTACGCTAGATCTTTTGCGGGTAGGGTGTCCCGGCTCCAGGCGCTAGATGAGCGAGAGATCGCTGCCGATCTTGAGCCCTGGCTAGAGGAGAGGGCTAAGCTCACCCACCTCGAGGCTAAGAGCTTGGCGAGCGAGAGAGGCGAGTGCTCTCTGCTAGGAGTTGGGCAGACCTCTCTGCCGATGATATCGCTAACCTGGACCCCGCTATGTCTGCAAGCCTCACACAGAAGTTTGCTGCTAGTGAAGCGGCCGCGGCCAAGGCCCAGCTAGCCGCCGCTAGCGCTGCTAAGGCTAAAGCCCGGAAGGAGGCCGAGGCCATAGCCGCTAAATCGTCATCGGACCGGGATCCGACCGTTAGTGACCCCACGCCGGCCGAGGCTGCCGCTATGAACTTCTTGCAGGCCGCTGCGCAGCAGCCTGCCGCTACCGCCCCACTGCTGCTACCCCGTCTTTCCCTCCGGCTACCGAGCGGAAAGGGAAAGGGGAAGGAAGGCGCTAAGGACAGACGCCAGTCCGCTAACAGCATCAACGAGTGTTCGACTACACGTGGACGCTACTCTTCGACGAGCCGGAGCGCTACATATTGGAGATGATGCGGTTCTCGCTATATATACAGACAGAAAAGGCTATCAGGGAGGCGGGCGGCATGCCCAACTCCATTCACTACGCAAAAGGCACTCCAATCGCCTGCACGCTAAAAAGGGGCAAGGGCCCGCGCCCCCGCTATGGCAAAGGCGATGATGGAACGCTACTCTTAAGGAGGCTCTCTACCACCTACCACGATGAGAGCCTCTATTCGCTAAGCCGTGAGGACGCCTCCGTCATGTGCCGCTATGCCCACCCGCAGGCGGGCCCCGCTAGGGAGAGAGCAGATGAGCTGCTCGCTATGCTCCTGCCGAGCTGCTAAACGCAGTTCCAGCCAGGTGCACCTGGTCGCTATAGGGACTCCAATGCCGCTATTTTCCGCTGCGCTATACTACTTGTGAAGTGTGCACGCTACGCGCCTGCAACAGGCGTATGTGGTGGAAGGTCGATGACCACGCTACGCACTGTTGCGATGGCTGCAAGAAGTGGTCCAAGGGAGAGGACTACGGCGGCCGCTAGACAGGGCAACGCCCCGCTACTGTACAGGCCCCGCTAAGAAGTTTGTGCGGCTACTTTGCAGCGCCCTCTGCTGCCGACCGCTTGCTGCAGGAAAAACCTCCAACCAGTGCGGCTGCGCTACAGTCACATGTGCAGTTGCAGTTGCACGCTACACACATGTCGGCAGCCAGACAGAAGGGGAGAGCTATAGAGTGAGAGTGTGTCGGGGGGGGGGGGGGTCGGATGCGGGGCTATGCCGTCCGCTACTGCAGTGCTTTTTCAGCATGTGCTACCGCCAGTCACTCCTCACACACTCCCTTGCTACACAGTTCCCCTAGGTTGCTAGCAGGTTCCGCCTTTTTACCCTTTTAAGCTAGTTTCAGACTGGGTGGCGTGGGCCCTGCCGTGCCTGCTACCATGGGAGAGGAGCTAGCAAAGAAACTAGCCCTCGGATCCAGCGAGCTGCGGTTCCTGCTAGTCGTGCAACACAAAGTTTCGGATGCTATCCAGTCCGAGCTCTTTTCCAGCGGTATCGATACCGTCGCTACTCAAGAAGATGCTGAAAGACAGCTTCGCTATCGAGCCATCCACCTCGCTAGCCAGCCGGGCTCAGGCCGCGGGGGTCACCATCGCATGGAGGACCGCTAACTCCCGCATCGAGCGGCAGGCCGAGGCGGAAGCTACCGATGAGGTCCGGGACTGGGCAAAGCCCATCCCCGCTACGGACTACATGGCCATGCGCCAGGCGTTCACTGCTAATGTTCGGGGATCTGGAAGACAAGCACACCCCCTCTAAGGAGTACGTTGAGAAGACTGGTCGGCTGTTAAGGTTATTTTTTTTAGGTTTTGTCAAAAACACTGCTGAAATAATAAGAAATAAGTTTACGATTCACTCGTCGATGTCTCATGTCCACCTCACTCTCTGTCTAACTTGCTCGTTCCCCTCGTGCAACTTACTTCTTACTCATCTCAGGGTCTCAAGAATCATGTGTAAGTTCAATCTCAGCAGCCACACACGGAGGACTTTTTTCCACTGCTCAGAGCTAGTAAGTTTCACCGATTGGTCCGGCGCTGTGCTTTCGGACACCAACGTCCAAATCAAGTCAAACGCATCAAGAACTCAAGGCTAAACGCAGAAGCATTCTCTCTCTCTCTCTCTCTCTCTCTCTCTCTCTCTCTCTCTCTCTCTCTCTCTCTCTCTCTCTCTCTCTCTCTCTCTCTCTCTCTCTCTCCCTCTCCCTCCCTCCCTCTCTCTTTCTCTCCGTGTCTGGCCTCCTCCCCCAGCCCCTCCTCCCTGTCGTCTGGGTCTTTCTCCCTGTCCCTTTCCCTTTCCAGTCTCCTTCCTCTGCTCCTTTTTCCCTTCAATGTCGTGAGGCTTTGGCCAATCAGAGCCCATGGTGCTACAGTGAGAGAGTCGAGGCGCCTGGAATTGCATGCTATGTCCTCTGTTTACTCCAGACTTGCAGACGCCCCCGACGCTCCTCCCCTTCGACCAAAAAAATGCCACGCACAGCTGTGCTGGCTGGGCAGGGGTGTGTCTGGAAATGACAGGTGTCGGGGAGAAGGCGTGCGTCCGCGGCGAAGCTTTCGCCGCGGGTCCGGACCGGCATTGGCCTGCATCACAGTGAGGCCAAACTGCGCAAGCCATGAAGGACGCTTGAGAAAGGTGATACTGTGGACCATTTGTTGAGGCGGTCCCGTGTGCCTCCGCGGATGGACGGGCCTGTCGACTTTCTGAGGCGCGCCCCCGTGTGCCTCCGCGGATGGACGGGCCTGTCGACTTTCTGAGGCGCGCCCCGTGTGCCTCCGCGGATGGACGGGCCTGTCGACTTTCTGAGGGCCCCCGTGTGCCTCCGCGGATGGACGGGCCTGTCGACTTTCTGAGGCACGCCCCCGTGTGCCTCC